TTGAAATTTTTAGGAAAGATCATTGAAAAATCTTCTCAAAAATAACAAAACCATGACAAGTCATTTTAATATAATTTAATTTTGGTTGTAACATGTCATTTGATTGGATAAAAAATTAATTTATATTGTATAACCTGGGTTTTTTTCTTGCAGCTTTCAATTTATATTTCATGGATCCTCTATGGATTTTTGTATACTCAGGTGACTGTTAAGGCCCTTGGGCCTCTTGTTTACTTTACTGAATGATGTCAAAAGTTTTCATCCACTTCTAGAATCTCCCTTTTTCTTGACAGGGATGTCGAGGAAAGAACAAGGTTCACTTAGGCTTTTTTCGGCCCTGTGAATTTCTGAAAAATTAAAACTGCTCAGTTTAAGTTGAAAATACATTAAATTTTACTTGGACCCTTGGTGACTGCATATCTATTGAAAATGACATGATTTTTTCCCCTAGTCCATGTATTTTGACGTCATGAATTGCGTCATTGTCCTCAAATCCTGAAAAATTCTCCAAAAGTGACCGACAAATTAACCTGTTTTCCAATATTTTGCATAGACCCCAACCTTTGATCCAAAATGTTCAATTATTTAATGAAAGAACTCTTTCAGAAGATTATAATCCATGTTTTATTTTTTAGATCGAGGGATGGGCACATATTTTCTTTCTTTGCTGAAGGTACTCAAATACACCCATTTTCTTCAATTTGTTTGTTTGTATGTTGTTTAACGTCCCTCTCGAGAATTTTTCACTCATATGGAGATGCCACCACTTGCTGGTGGAGAGCTGCAAATTTTGTCCTATACTCAGCACTTACAGCCATTGAGCAGTGAGGGATCTTTTTCGTGCCAGCACCTACTGCGACACGGGACATCGGTTTATACGGTCTCATCCGAAGGACCAGTCTCCACGTCCCACAGTGGGATTCGAACCCACGACGTAAGGATCAACTCCTTATTCCGCGACTCTAGAGCAGACACTCTAACCACTGTGCCACACGGGCGACCTATTTTCTTCAAAATTCAAGAACAATGTAATTTTACAAAGCCTGTATTTCAATACCTGGACTCTCAGAGGAAACTTAATTGTAGGAAATGTAAGCACCAAGTTTCTTCTTTATATTGATTGTTGAAACAGGACACTGGGACATGGACAGATAATTGGTATATGGACAAGGCCATTTTATGGATAAAGTGAACCTAGCACTTTGTCGTAACCAATGTTTTCACGGAGATTTGTGCACCTGTAGTTGTCAAACATGCTTGAAATCTGAGTAAACAAACATTTGAATGTTCCCAGTTCAAATCATGCAATATCAAACAAGATTTTATGATAATTCAGTACAAAAGTACATGTATGTTATTCTTAGTATAGTAAGTTTAAATAATTCAAGCAAAACGTAACATTTTAACCCAAACAAGCACTAGTAGTACAGACGGAATAAAAGCAATGTGATTAAGTTCTAAATCTAAGGAATGTATACAACTGAAATCCATCGCAGCTCATTGAAGCTGAGAATACCTGTATTGAGTAACACAGAGTGAGTTATTCTTATCCTTGAAGAAAGTGTGCTATACTGAGGAATAGTTCCACTTGACTGTGTTTTAGGTACATTGGAATGTTAAGATTTGCTCTCCCCCTAATGTTTCTTATATCAAGAATGGAAATGCATAAAATATAGATGATTTAAGGAAAATACACAAACCTATTAAATATTTTAAAGAGTCTTTGAAAAGGCGAGATTTTAAAACTATAAAAATGTGGCACCAGGTGGATTCGAACCCTCGACTTTAAAAAAGTACCCATGGTGTGAATAGTCAGCGCTTATATCAATTAAGCTATTCTGACTTCAAGAAAATGATGTATAAATGTGAAACAGATTGTCAAAATTAAGTTTCCTTATTTTTGGGAGGTTTTTTGTGAATTTCGACCCTAGGGCAGGGGTGCCCCTAAAAAGGTCCTATCTTAAATTATTCCTTACATCCCAACCTATCAAAATATCAGTTTTATTTAGGGGCAGGCCTGCCTTGAAGGACTTCTAGGCCAAAATTCGTGCAAAAATTGACACTTTATACAAATTTGAAAAAATTAGACATGTACGGTAGAAAACAACTTATAAACAAGGATTTTAAAATATGTCACTTTTTCTGGGAATTTGTTCTCTCATATAGGTCAATGCTTTTGAAATTGTGATTACATCCGTATTCATTGTTCCTTAAAGCTGAACACACTTTGTAAAAGGTATTTGTCCGCCATATTTGATTATAAACTCGCTATACCTGAGGGCCCATATCTTAAGCCGCTCACTTAGTCACTGTTCAGTGTAATTAGTCATCACCGGTATAGAGGGACGCATGCTACACAGCACTTGATAGCGCAAAAATAACTGTGTACTTCTTCTAATGCAGGAGAGTAAGTTATCGAAGAAACTTACAACAGATGCACAGGTCAGTGCAGTGTACAAACAAACACAAATACACCTAACTGCAATAAAATGTAAACAAAGGTAATGTACATGTAAGATAATCAGCACGAACATTCCATGCCGATACTCATGACAATAAAGCAGTCAGGTGTAACGAATGCAAAGGGTATATCCCAGTGCTGTTATCGTAGATATTATGATCAAATATGGCATATGTTCAGCTTCTAAATAGTGAATTTTTAAATGTATATCTTTTATAGTAATAGTTTTATGACAATTTATATTAAGTCTGATATGATCATCGGCACACGGACAGAATCCAGAATAATTTACATGTGTAACTATTCCAATTGCATAAGTTTCTCTGGTAATATGTAAAACATCAAACTTAAATTTATACGAGTGAAACCAGAAAAAAAGAATCTTAGTGAAATGTCAGTTTTTCATGTAAATAGCATCAGAGAAAAGGGATTGGTGTCATAGTTTTCAGTGTTGTTGAAATTCAGTTTGCTGCAAATGACGTTGTCAAATGCATTAGCTACTACCTACATTATAAGGTAACCTTTCGAAGACTTAAATTAGTGTCTGATAATGAAAAGAAAATATGAACAGCAGTGAATTCAAATGAGTTCCTCAGTCTAGAGTGGTTTTCCACTAAAAAAAAAAAATGAAATGCTAAGAGACCCCTGTTAAGCACACAGGGATTGATTGTATGTTGTTTTACGTCCCATTCAAGAATTTTTCACACATATAGAGAAGTCACCATATAGGGTGAGTTAACCATGCATCGGACACACACCTTGCTTCAGACAACTTTAAGCAATAAACTTTCATTGAACCCGAGTCTCCCCATGTTTTTACTTGTTTCTGTCTTAAAGGTGAAGATTTAAACTTTTTATTTATGCCGATTTTTATTTTCATGTTGTGATAAAATTGCCACAAGAATGGCCTTGAAATTACATCATATTTTGCATCATCAAAGGGGAGTAACCAGAATTTTACAATTTTGCAATTTTTAAAGGTGTCGCTCTTTTAAATAGACCTCAAGGGAACGAGTCGAACCTAGGTAAAATTTGTCAATGATTGATAATTTTACAGAAATTTTTCAAAAATTTTACTTCAATGTTTGTATAATTATAATTTTTAGAGTTGTTTTTTACTAGTATGTTTATTTCACCGTACATCGGACACAAATTAACCATGCATCGGACGCTTTCCAATGCATGGGTAATCACTTCCATTTTCATATTTTCATATAAAACCCAGATGACAGCTATTTTTTACGGAAATAGATAATAAAAAATCTAAATTTTAAGTGAAAATACAAGATATCGATATATGACGACTAGAAGTGAACTCAATTTATTTCTTTAAACTAGATGATGATAATCCACGAGACAAAGGTGCGAGTTGCCATATTACTAGCATTGTAAAGCCTTTCTAAGGCGATGTGATGCACCTAAAATCTCTTCACATTTGTGGATCGAAATAGTCATTCAAATTTAACTAGAAGTTTAATTTTTTGATAAAAGATAAAAATGTTTCGATATCACTAATTTTAAAGCACTGAGATTTAGGTATTATATTTCTCTGGTTTAAATACCGTATGTCCGATGCATGGTGAATATTTTCCGATCTATGGTGAATTCTGACTTATTTCGAAAAAATTGGGTTTTAATGATATTTTCTCTATAAATAGCACACACATACTACATGTTAAGTTCCATATTGATAATATTTGGTCAGTAAGGATATCGCTAGAACTTGTTGAAGTGCGAGGATGTCCGATGCATGGTGAATTCACCCTACTGGTGAAGGGCTTCAAATTTGGATCTTTATTCAGCACTCAGGGCCATTGAGCAGTGAGGGATCTTTATTGTGCCAATGCCTGCTGTGACACAGGGCCTCGGTTTTTAAGGTCTCATCCAAAGGACCCGCAACTTTCTCTTCAAATTGCCGAGCGCCTGGTGAAGGAACAGTTGCTACCTATTTTTTATTGACTTAGGTCAGTCACAGCCAAGATTCGAACTCGTGGCCTTCCGATCATGGAGCAAGCACTGTACTGACTGAGCTACCATGACGGTAGCACACAGGGAAGTACCTTTAAAAAGAAATGATCAAGAAGAGACCTAAATGACGCTTGCTTTTGTGGGATGATGTACATGTACACATGTATGCTTTATTCATTTTAACAGTATTTTCTTATGAAACTGGAAATTTATGATTAAAAAATGTTGCTTTTTACAATGACAAGAAAAGAATTTTAATTTAGCATAGAGAAACTAAAATGTTTTCCCTGTCTACAACTTTTTGGACAACCCTCGTATTTTCAACTAAAGCAGTTTTGATTTTTCAGAAATCCACAAGTCCAAAAGAAAACCCTAAGTGAACCTTGTTCTTTGTTCAAATCTTGTTATGTAATTATGTACTTCATAGGAGTAGGAGAGTCTTTTGAAGAACATCTATAATGGTCCTAGTTTAATAAGCTATGGTTATTAATAAATAGCATTACTGCTTTTGGAAATATTGTTTCATACCTCATTCAGTTTGTCAGTTCTCCGTCCTGTATGTTTTTTCCAGGTGCATTTTTGATTAACACTGCAAGGGGAGGCCTGGTGGATGAACATGCCCTAGCAGCAGCATTAAAAGATGGCAGAATTCGAGCAGCAGCATTAGATGTCCATGAAAATGAACCTTTTAGTTTCTCCACTAGTAAGCTGCAGTAACTTTCTCCACTATTAGTTGTAACATTGAATTTTAGCTCACATTAATGAAGTCTAGATGAGCTTATGCTTTAACTTGATGTCAGCATCCCAATACGTTTGATTTCCATTAGTGAACTCTTCAAAATTAGAGGCGCGTTTGGTCAACCTCAATCCAATTTTAAATGTTAAGTGCATTTGTCATTCCAATTAAAGAATAGACGAACTAAAAGACGTATGTAAGAGAACAAGAACCCTAAATTTATCATCCATTAATAAAAAATACGACATTTCCGAGGCATGTGTATTGTATTTAAATGTACGATACGATAAATAGATACATACAATCAACAATAGATATAAATTGATATCGTTGTCATTTCTACTCTTAATGTATATAAAGTCCACAACAATAATATATTTCATCTGCATTTTGTTAGGATTTGTTCATCGACATTCAACTGTTTATGTTACGTTTGTCCGAGAAATCCTGCAAGATTTGTACATTTTCCGACTTTTTCACAAAAGAGCGCACTAAGAAGTAACACTCTTCAATAGTGGAAAAAGAACGTATTGATAAAGTTGTAGGAGCAAGTACATTCCCAAGTAACTACATGTACTGTGTGCACCAAAAACTTTTTTTCAGCACTAGCCCATATAGGGTAGTGATTGCTAGATTTTACTAACTACAGTAAAACTCAGTTTTAGCCAGTCCTGGGGACCTGCAAAATTAATATGCTATATCCATAATTCCTTATATCAATATAACGAATTCGCATAACTTTATAAAGCGAATTTGCAAAAATAACACGTTTTCCTTCAAGTATTACTACCGAATATGTTAGGGAATCAATTATTACAAAACATACCTTGGATAACTAACTAATTTTTATTATGAATTGAATTTTGTATACAAATACTTACCAAAAATACAGTCAGTTCAATAAATCAGATTTTGATATCTTTAAAAATTTGTTATAAAAGATGTAAATTTCATTAGGGCTCCGCAAGGATTTGCTGGTGCCCTATAGTAATCAATCTGTCTGTCTGTCATTCTTCCATCCATAAATTTTCTGTTTTTTTCTAATAACTTTTTTTAGGGTTGACCAATTAAGTTCAAATTTGGTATGTTGGTTGAATAGGCAGTAAGACATATTTTGATGCTAAGTTTGGTTCTCTGTGTCATCCGGTTTGGAGCTGGGGTGGTGGGGTAGATTCCTTAACTTTATATAAGAATGAATGGGCAAAGAGAGATAACTGCTGAGAATGTTCCTATTGTAAACCATGAAAGCTGCAATGAGTCTCTTGGGATTAATTAACTTTCCTCTTGAAGAAAATCCAAAGCATTTATCTTTATCTGTCACATTTAGATTAACACTTCAGTCTGCAAATAAAGTTTGTTTTGAAGTTAAGGTCAATTCTGAATGATGTTTACATTCTCTGAAATGTGGATTTAAATAATGTGCATACTTATTTTGGTAAAATACACAATGAGTTATTAATTTATTGAATTCTAAAAACAGGATATAGATAAAAATATCTTTTTTTATTAGCTCTTCTGAGCAAAAGGCTCAAAGAGCTAATGCTATGGCCATTTGTGTGGTGTGCATAAACTTTTTAGAATATGGGCCATAACTCAAGAAACCCTTGGCCAATTATTGTCAAATTTGTCACAGGGTATCCTTGGCCCAAGGGCTCCTTTTTGTACTAAAACTAGGGTTGTGACCCTTAAACAAGGGGAGATAATTAGGAAAATAGAAACAAAAGTACTGGTTGCTAAAAAATCTTCTTCTCAAGAACCACTGGGCAGATTATCACCAAACTTACACAAAAGGATGAGTCACAACATTTTTTCTTTAATTTTATTCTGTGACCACAATAAAATTTTCATATAATATGTACCATAAGTTTTTGGGTATATGTCGATGGGGTGTATAGGTAGAAAGGCTCATTTTCAGCCGTAATTTTTAAAAAATCCTTAGATAGGATGAATTCGGAAGATAGGACGAGGCTTTGTTTATTGATTTCTAGAGATTTTTATGTAGATACTACGTATCAGAACATGTAAACCTCTTTAACTTAACCCATGATATTAACGTATTGAGAAAATAAAGTAGTATTTTTATGAGTACAGTATTTTAATAGTGTTTTATACAAACTTAGTTAAAACTTCCTTGAATTGTGATATGAGGTATTTTCTCCAACTTGCCTGTTCAATGCCGTTGTAGTTTGACTCTGTCGTTAAACACATAAATACGGTAGTATAAAACAGCTATAATTAGGGAAATACCCAAATCAAACAATAATCATTTCCATTCTTTTATTCCGACATTATTTACCGGGGTAAAAAATTAACTTCGATGACCGCCATTTTTATATTTTCTTGTCCAGGGATTTGCTAAAACACGCAAATGATTATTACATGTAACAGTGTGCAAATGAAATTAATCATAATATTAACATGCTATAATTTTGCATGAGATGTTGTTGTAAAAAATAAATTTAATTGAGAGTACATTCGCAATTTAACAGTCATCAAGAATTTCACAGTTTTGTTTGTTCAATGATGTATAGCACTAATACCCCTGTAACGGCACGTGGATCTGTTAATCATGCCCCGCAGGTGTTTTAACCAACACAGGTGTTAACACCTTTGTGTACACAGTGTATATCCCTTTATCTGTCAGACAATTAAAATTCTATTAGAAGCCAATATTTGTATAATTCAGTGTACCCCTTGGGTATGAGGAAGCTTTCAATTCTATCATTTAAAAAAATATTTATTTTGTAAAACAAAAAAAAATGTGAATAAAATATAACGTGTCGTGAATAAATGAATTTATAACTTCCAAAAACGTATAATAGTATATTCAAGATAAGTTAGTTTTATTATAATTAATGAAGATATAAAACAAAATAGTTATTAATAGTGGTATATTGGTAAATAAATTTAGGAATGTACTGGCAACAATTTACTTCACGCATTTTACATTTAAATAAATATCACAAGACAATGAACAAATATTTAGGCATACTATTTCAGTTAATTGTTACAAATAAATAGTAAAAAAAGATTACAATTGCGATTGTGAAAACTCTTCCACATTTTAAATTTTGATACGGCTGCGGTTTTCTTTTTAGTAAACGATTGCGACTTCCAACTTCACAAGATGGACACAGCATGTTGTAAATATACTTTGAGACATTAATTACTAGACGATATACCGGTAATAAGTTTTTTTGTACATCGACAGATATTTTATGGATCTTATTTTGTGAGAAATCAATGGATTAAATATTTGATTCTTTATTGTTTATTATTTTTTTCTCGGTAAAATAATTTTAAAAAATACGAAAATGGCACAGATTTGCTTTAAAATTGACGTAAATATCACTGATTTGGAGGCATTTTTCGTAAACTTGAGCCTTAGATAGGTCGATTCGTTAAATAGGATGACCCAAGCCATTCTGAGAAAAAAAGTATCATCTTATCTTCCAAAATTTACAGTATTGTTTTGATTTTAAAGTGACATTTGCTACTTTACAACAACAACAACAACCCCCCCCCCCCCCCCCCAAAAAAAATAGATAAATAAAAATAAGCTTCAGCTTTTTTTTTTTCAATGTGAAAATCCAAGAGAGTTCATTTTGTTTCATTATTTTACCTGGTAATTGATTAAAAGTAAAGTATTATTACTTACAATGTTTTATTTTCCCCTTTAACACTTAAAGATAAATTCAAATAGTCTTTGAACTTGAAAGCATTTCAAAGTTTCTGCTCAAATGTATTGATGATAATTAATCTACAATATATCGCAATATATTGCAATATTCAAAGTAAAATATTGCAATATGGTTTTCGCTTGCAATACCCAACTCTACAGTATAGGTATAAAAGTGAAAATAAGCTGAATAAGTTACAGAAGAGAAACAAAATTAAAAAAAAAAAAGCAGAATCAGGGAATGATAACTCAAAATAATGACATTAGATAACTATCATTTTAAAAATAACTTGTTTCCATCATGTCTCTGTTAAAAAAAAACTGCAAATATTTCGAAATGCCAACTATTGTGTGACTCTTATGCATAAGAGTACATAATTTAACCACTGTGGTATTTTCCACTAAGGAATGCAAATATCTATGTGCTTTTAAAGTAGGTCACAGGTTTGCTGATATCATTAAATTTATATGATTTTGGTGACTTTCTTGTGCACATTTGATTGTGATGTCTCATTGAAAAAAAATATGCAATGCTTTTTAGCTCACCTGAGCCGAAGGCTCAATTGAGCTTTTCTGATCGAAATTTGTCTGTCATCGTCGTTGTTGGTGTTTTTGTTGTGACCTACTTTTTGAACTTTGCAGGCATTCGAGTTCGAAGCATTTTGGAGGTATCTTTTGGACATTTTAAGGCCTATGATCATAAAACTTTGTAAGTTGCTGCAGCTTGGGTCCTCAAAAAATGTCAACTGAAAACTAGGTCATTGTGACCTACTTTTGAAATTTTATGGCTATGTTTAAATATTTTGGGTACTATTTGGCTTAAAATCATCTAACTTTGTCAGGTGATGTATCTTGGGTCCTCAAAGTAGGTCGACTTAAAAGTAGGTCCCTGTGACCTACTTTTCAATTTATTTGGCTATAATTAAATATTTAATTAAATTAAATATATATAAATAAATATATATAAATAAATTATATTTATATAAATATATATATTAATATATTTCAGGTACTTATTGGCTTAGAATCATTAAACTTTGTCAGTTGATGCATTTTTGGTCCTAGGAGTATGTCGAATGAAAAGTAAGTCATCGTGACCTACTTTTGACAATTTTTGGCTTTAATTAAATATTTCAGGTACTAATTGGCTTAGAATCATCAAACTTTGTCGGTTGATGCATCTTGGGTCCTCGGAGTACAAGAACTGAAAAGTTGGTCACTGTCACCTACTTTTGAAATTTTATGGCTATATTTAAATATTTTTGGGTACTATTTGGTTTAGAATCATCAAATTTTGTCAGTTGATGCATCTTAGGTCCTTGGAGTACGTCTACTGAAAAGTAGGTCATTGTGACCTACTTTTCAATTTATGTGTCTATAATTTAATATTTGGGTACTTATTGGCTTAGAATCATCAAACTTTGTCAGTTGATGCGTCTTGGGTCCTCGGAATAAGCTGACTGAAAAGTAGGTCAACGTGACCTACTTTTCAATTTATATGGCTATAATTAGATATTTTAGGGTACTTATTGACTTAGAATCATAAAAACTTTGTCAGTTGATGCATCTTGGGTCCACGGAGTAAGTTGACTGAAAAGTAGGTCACTTTGACCTGCTTTTGAAATTTTATGGCTTTGTTCAAATATTTCAGGCACTAATTGGCTTAGAATCATCAAACTTTGTCAGTTGATCCATCTTGGGTCCTCAGAGTAAGGTGACTGAAAATTAGGTCACCCTGACCTACTAAGCTGACATATGAATATTTTTACATAGATTTACTTCATATCATCACTATCAAAGTAAAAAAAATCGGAAACAATGTCGTCTGGACCATTTAAAAGTTATTTACTTTTTTAAAACGAAATCTGCCTAAAAAAGAGTCAAAATGAATGTTTTACCAGTAGAAAACAATAGAATAAGGTCGAAAATGTTATGACAACAATCGCATGTTTGAGATTTAATTACAAAAAAGGATGTTTTCAGGTAATTTTAACAGTCTTCGACAAATCCCGGGAGTCCGAAGCCCAGGACCTGGTAAAATTGGAAGCGGGCATGTTGAAATTACATACTTACAAATTAAATAATACAAATAACATTAAATTACTAAATGTCTGATTTTTCATTTAAAGTTTTAACAATAGTTTATACTACCGTGATTTCCAAGGAACTCTTTTGCAAAGAAGACACAAAAAGTATACACGTTGAAAACAATACATGACTTCCAACATGTCCAAGGAACTCTTTTGCAAAGGAGACACAAAATGTGTACAGATTGAAAACAGTATTAATGGCGAGACAATAGAACGATAGAAATAGATATCGGATCATTTCCTTGACATGAAAAGGCAAATAAGAATAAAATTACTTGATAAAATTCTGGGCATGTAAATATTTGTTCGGGCTAGCATAGTAAGTGGTTAAACCTGCACGAAGGGCATGTACTGAAAAAAGAAAAAAATGGCGAACACTGTTTTAAAAGGTCTGCAACCCCGTGACCTACAATAAATTAAAGCCCATCTCATGTATTTGTTATGATAAAAATGAAAATATTTTTGCTACAGTCACAGTCAACATAAGCTGATTTATGTAGGACTGGATCAAGATATTAGTAATCTGTATATTCAGTAAGTGGTATTTTTGTGATACATTGACTGATACAGATCTAGAGATGCCTATGTATTTCTTGACACTATGAAAAAAAATTGCCTGTCTTTTTGAGTGATTTAATGCCATATGTTTTAAATCTTATATGATTTTTTTTGTCAGGTCCATTAAAGGACTGTCCAAATTTGATCTGCACCCCTCATTCATCATTCTACAGTGAGCAGAGTGTGACAGAACTTCGTGAAATGGCAGCTGGGGAGATCCGAAGAGCAATTGTTGGGAGAATACCTGACAGTCTACGCAATTGTGTCAATAAGGAATATTTTTCTACTGGTATGTAATGGTGACAGAGCTGAGGTATAAGAACATGTATAAAACAAGATTTGTTTGTGAAACACTGATGCCCCCGTATGGCAGCTTATGACGAAGGTTAAAGTTTCTCAAATGCAAGTCAAAATTCAGGCCAAAAGATAAAAAAAAAATGTTGGTACCCAAAGAAAGGTCTTGTCACAAGGAATATACCTGTGAAATTTGAAAGCCCTAGCTGCAACTGTTCAAAAGTTATGGCAAAGGTTAAAGTTTTTTAAAAATTACCCGGTAAGTAAAACGTCAAAGTTGTTGGTATCCAAAGGAAGGTCTTGTCACAAGGATTACATATGTGAAGTATGAAAGCCCTAGCACCAACCATTCAACAGTTATGGCGAAGGTTAAAGTTTTTCGAAAGTAGGTCAAACTCCTATGTCAAGGTCAAAGGGTCAAAGTGGTTGGTATCCAAAGGAAGCTCTTGTCACAAGGATAATGTATGTAGGTATGAAAGCCCTAGCACCAACAATTTAAAAGTTATGGCCAAGGATAAAGTTTTTCAAAAGTAGGTCAAACTCTTACGTCAAGGTCAAAGTGGTTGGTATCCAAAGGAAGGTGATGTCAAAAGGATTACATGTGTAAAGTATGAAAGCCCTAGCATCAACCATTCAAAAGTTATGGCCAAGGTTAAATTTTTTTCAAAAGTAGGTCAAACTCATAGGTCGGGGTCAAAGGGTCAAAGAGGTTGATATCCAGAGGAAGGTCTTGTCACAAGGATTACATATGTAAAGTATGAAAGCCCTAGCTCCAACCGTTCAAAAGTTATGGCCAAGGTTAAAGTTTTTCAAAAGAAGGTCAAACTCCAAGGTCAAGGTCAAAAGGTCAAAGTTGTTGGTATCCAAAGAAAGGCCTTGTCACAAAGAATACTCATGTGAAGTTTGAAACCCCAAGCACCAACTGTTCAGAAGTTATGGCCAAGGTTAAAGTCTCATAAAATTTTGCAAAAGTGGGTCAAACTCCAAGGTCAAAAGGTCAACTATGATGGTACCCAAAGAAAGGTCTTGTCACAAGGAATACACATGTGAAATATGAAAGTCATAGCTCCAATCAATCAAAAGTTATGGCCAAGGTTAAAGTTGACAACAGATAAACAGACAGACAGGACAAAAACAATATACCCCCAGGATCTTTTGATCCGGGGGCCTAATTAAAAATAAACTACAATTTTTTTTAGAATAAAAATGAATTTCTATCCCTATTCCAATTCACTACATGCTCTGGACAATGTGACATTGACCTTTAAGACTTAAGGCTCAGTCACACCTTACAAGATAACTATAGCCACTAACCAAAGAGTTAGGGGTCTTACATAATTTATAATTTTATATATTTTAATATTACAAGATTTCCATTTCTATTTTATGCTATATGTACAGTTTTCTAATTCATTCATTTTAGCATTTAACAATTAACACAAATAATATGTCTTACAATTTCAAACTTAAGCAGATGGCTTGTTTATATGTCTTGTACATAGTTATCTAGTCTTTGAAGTCAATTTAGTTAATCCCCTGTTCAATTATCTTTTGTTACCCTGAAGACAGTATAGGTGTCACAGTAATGAACACTTTACCTGTCCACATCACTCTATTGTAAAGATGTCAAACAATCCAGAGTAAATTAAATAATCATTCAATTCCCCTTAAGGCAAAGAAAATATTTTATCTAAAGAACAAAGAGATAATCTCAGAGTAGTAGTAGTTGAGCATTAGAGTGGTAGTTCAGTAGTAAGAGAGTAAGTAGTTAAGGCTAGAGCAGGCAGCTAGCAGACCCAGTTTTACATATGTATATAATGTACATATTTCTGTAATAAAGACTGGAAAAGGAATTATCTTATGTCTTAATCCTTGACGGTTCTATGTCAAGGACAGTAACAATGCCTATGGTTACTGCGTGACTGAGTGTTGAGGCCAGGTGTGCACATGTGTGCAGTAGGGTGCACTACCTATTCCGGTGGACCCCTACCCTCCCCTGTCGGCTGTCACATAGCCCTAACAGATGTCAAATGGATGAAAATTATGACAGAATCCAATTTGTAAGTAACAAATTGATGAAAGTCATCCATTTCTGCTTTTTATACGCCCGTCTTTAGACGGGACGTATTATGTTATGGCGTTCATGTTCATCCGTCTGTCTGTCTGTTAGCTTTTCTTGTGTCCGGCTCATAACTTTAATACTATTAGGCCTAGGATTATCAAACTTTGTCAGCTGATACTTCTTGGGTAGAAGGTGTGTCACGCACTAAAAGTAGGTCGCTCTGACCTTTTATTAAGATGCTATGGCCAAATATGGAAAAATCCTGTCTGGCTCATAACTAGAAAACTATTGGACTTAGAATCATCAAACTTGGCCAATTTACGCATCTTACGTAGAGGGTGTGTCACGACCTATTTCAAGGTCACTGTGACCTTTAAGTGAAATTAAAAAAAAACTGTCTTTTTACTATTAGATTACACAATTCCAAAAATGCAAGAGTGTTGCAGTATGCTTATTAAAAAAATCTTAAATAATGAAAATACTAATTTTTTTTTCATTATATACTTTACAGCAATCTATAACAAATGTAATGTTACAAGAGAAATTCCACCTCTCCCAGGGGTGTAATTATCAAGCACTGGTCAAGGAGAATTTGATAACAGAAGATTGCATGTCAAATTAGAGAGAAATTAATGAGTTTAGTGTGAGGAGCTAACTGGTAGAGCATCTCTGATCAAGCAGGTGTTATCTTTATCTCTTGGGAACTGGGCAAAAAGAATCAGCCGTGTTGGATTAAATAGTTGGCTAGCCTAACTTTTAAAAATGAATTTGGTGAAAAGTAATTAAAACTTATTTGATATTGTATAATAAATTAATTTGATATTGTATAATATAATTAAAACTAATTATACTGGGGGGGGGGGGGGGGATATTGGAATTAATTGCAGCTTAAAACCAGTCTGACATTAAATCTAAAAAAAAAAATCAAGTATTTAAAAAAAAACATGTTTTAATTATGGTAGATAGTCCCTACAAATGTAAAAGTAATGCAGGAACCTTATTAAAAATGTTGCATCAAGATTACACAAGTTTTTTTTTGTTTTCAAATTTAATTTCAGAATGACATAAATATGCATTTTTATTGCACTATAAAGCAGATAGTATGTATAGATCCATTCATCCATTGGGAGTAATGAGTGGACATGCATCCAGTTAAAGATCAGTTAATGAGTTCAGTGTAGGAAGGCTAGCTGTCTCAATCATTTCTTTTAGAGGATCTCTGATCAAGCAGCTCTTATCTGTATCCTTTGGGAATTAGACAGAAGAAACGCTTGTCAGTTTATAGCATGTGTCATTTGATGGTCAGCCTTTTATTTTTAATATTAATTTGATATAGATTAAGTTGTTAAGACTAAATTGATATTGTTTAATAAGATATTTTTATTTAATTTTTTGAAAATATCAACTAATTCCGAGCATCATGTCTCACAAATCTGAAGGGGGGGGGGGGGGGGGGGGGCTGCAGATGGGCATTTGTCAAGCTCCAACACAACCAGTTGAGGATCTATAATGTAATATTTGTTATAATTAATGCCTACACCACAGGAGATGTGTAAACAAATATTATAAAGAATGGAAAAATCATTGAAATCCTTGTATCAAGGTTGACACGATTTTCTTGCACTCTAAACTGTTTATGAAAATTGAACAATATTTGACGGGCGTATCATGCTGTTTGGGGCACTTTATTGAGACTATTGCAATCAATGCACGAAGCATATAATACAAATGAAAAGCTCAAGATAAAGAGACATGTACTCTACAAAATGTAGTCAACTTGCGGACTTCACCGTTTCAAAACAAATGTGCAGTGTATGAGAAACTTACAGAATTGTTTTAAAACGTTAGACTAATGATTTTATGGTCAGTATCCACTTCATCTGTTTTTCACCCAGTAAGATATGGACAAGAAACATGCAAATGGATACAACAAATTGAAAATAAAAAATCCATTTGACGACCATTAGCACTATCCGGTAAGGGGTGACTGAGCCCACAATCTATGGCACACATTTAGTCATAACAGCATTTAAACATGTTAAAATTCATGCTAATCCTGGGTTCCAAAGTTATGGTCGTGAAGTGATTCAACTACTTCATTGCCAGTTGACCTTGATTTTGATTTAAAGTCATGGCCTTAAGATCATTTGTACAACAGCATAATAAAATTTGAACCTTTTTCAATCATTGGTTTCAGGATTATCTTTACAGCCCAAATATTTTAAGTGCACTGCAAGGATTTGCTGGTCCCCTGTAGTAATCACTCTGTCATCAGTCATTCTTCCATCCACAAATTTTCTGGTTTTTTATAATAACTTTTTTTTATGGTTGACCAGCTAAGTTTAATTTTGGTACATTGGTTGAATAGGCAGTAAGGCTTATTTTGATACTAAGTTTGGTTCTTTGTGTCCTCCGGTTTGGAGCTGGGGTGGTGGGGTAGATTCCTTAACTCTATAAAAGAATGAATGGGAAAGAGAGATAACTGTTGAGACTGTTCCTATTGTGAAATGTGAAAGTTGCATTGAGCCCCTTTGGATTAATTAACTTTCCTCTTGAAGAAAATCCAAAGCATTATCTTTATCTGTCACACTGAGGTTAATTAACACCTCTGCCCGCAAGTGAAGTTTATTTTGAAGTTAAGGTCAATTTTGAATGATGTTTACATTCTCTGAAATGGGATTTAAATTATGTTCATACTTTATTTTGGTTAAAGTACTGTACACAATGAGTTGTGATTTAATTGAATTCTAAAATTAAAATTAATATAAAGGTACCTTTTTTAATTATTGTTTTCTTTTCTTTCTTTCTTTTTAGCTCTTCTGAGCCAAAGGCTCAAAGAGCTAATGCTATGGCCATTTGTGCGGTGTGCATAAACTTTTTAGAATATGGGCCATTACTCAAGAACCCCTTGGCCAATTATTGTCAAATTTGTC